CATCACCTCGTCTTAATGTTACCCTAAACAAGCTTGATTTGCTCGAAATTTTCAAAATAATAAAAAATTTTAGGGACCAAACTCCGTCCAATCGGCTAGTATTTGACGGCTCTGGAGGCTGCTTAGGATCGTATTTTGGCGGACCGTGTATGTTCAAAGCCTAAATGTTCAGGTGAATTGTCGAATTAGCATGAGTCATAGTTTTAGCAAAAAAGTTGCCGCCGGACGCAAAAACTCGATTTGGAAAGGATTTTGTGGAGAAAATGTGTCAGCTCTTCGAATCCGAAGATCCTGGATCGATGGAGGCGATGCAAGAAATGCATAACGAGGTAAGCAACAGCTCTGCACTTTCACTTTTGCAATATTCCCAGCTATTTTTTCGAAATTTTGTCGGTTTTAATGAAAAGTGGGCCAATTCTAGGCTAAAAGTCAATGGTTCTTTCCCACTTAATAACGTATGATGAATTGAAAGCTGTTCCCCTAGGATACTTGGAATAACAACCAAAATTTATTATACGGATCCTCACTGTAACGTGGAGGAGGGCCTATGCGGTTTATTGGAAGTGCAGCTGTGGGGGACACTCGCCCAGACGAGTAAACAAAGCTTGTTCTATATAAGCACAAAATAAAAAAAAAAAAGTCATAAACCGAGAAAAATTCGGCAGTGGCTCCAAGTTGCGCTACAGAATAACTGATAAGCTATAAAACAATCACCATTTCATTTCTAATCACAACAATACATATCACTGAGGGAGAATTCGAGTCGGAAGACGGGATACTTGCATTTCACACGAAATCGAAGGGCAACTGGGCAAGGCGGAGGGGTTTAGCCGACAGCTTCGTTTCCTTGCTATTAACACATTGTTCCTTCTGTAGCTTCATTTATGAAGCCATCGACCACGATCTTATGCTTTGCGCATCTATACCATTCCAAACTTTCTAACTGATAGATTATTTATGAGTGTTTTAGCTTGTTGCTTATTACAAAGAGCACAATCTAACTGAAATGTGGATATCGGATGACGAGAATGACAGCAATGAAACGAAAGCTCCGGTGTCCAAAAAACTGCATCATGATTATGGCAAAGGTTTAACTTGACAACATTTTTGATAACATATTCGATGTTTTTAATACAAATTGTCGCACTTTCTTTAGTGGTAAATAATACAAAATCACTGAGAATGAAGTTGCAACTTTTGGTGAAAAGATAGATCAGTTTGCAATCCGTGTTTCATCCCTTAACCGCAGGAACATTGATTCTTAGGTTAATTAGAACGACGTTTTGACAAATAGAACTGCCGTCGTTGTACTGGCAAAGGTTCGAGTTTTGTCGTTGAGATTCGGATTTGTCGTTGAGATTTGTCGTTGTCGTTGAGGTTTGTCGTTGAGGTTTGTCGTTGAGGTTTGTCATTG